GACGTTACCGTAAGGGAGGACATCGAGTGATTAATGACCGCGGAGTCCCATTGTAGGTCTCGTGGTGCCGTCCCGTAGGTTTCGCGGAGAAATGTCTCTACGTTGATTCCATGTTTCTACCTCCCTGGGTCTGACTTTCGAACGAGACGGAGACCGAGATGAGCGGCAGCCTGACGGCAGGGGCTGCAGGATGGTTACAGGGGGCGGAGGAAGAAAAAAAGAAACCACGCTTTACTTCCCGCTCACGAGTGAACGGAAGAGACGATCGTAGAGTACGAGGTCGAGTACAAATTGTCTTGAGGGGACAGGGCTGGGAATCAATCTACTTCTTGCCCTTCGTCCCCCTTCCCATTCCCCACCCTCTTTTTATCCACCATCTTTTCTTCCTTATTTCTTTTCGACTCCTCTCTCTTTCTCTCTCTCCCTCTCCCCCACACACACGCGCACGCCCATCTTACACACATACACATACCTCTCTGCTCTATTACTCGTTTTCTTTATTTCAAACTTTACCAGACGTCAGCCGGTGATCGGATGAACTCATTGTACAATGGGAAAAAAACTTTGGGAAATTTAGGTTTCAAGTGACGAATAGTCCCCCTCGCTCGCGTCGAGGAGTCGAATGGTTCCGACAGGGCGGGCTCCGCTTTCAGAGCTAAATAAAAAGAGGCGATTCCGTCGAACTGACTGGGCTGAGGAATCTTCGCCGATTCCCCGACAAGAAAATTAAAGTAGCGACACCGTACTATATTACGCGCATTGATTGAAACTTTCTGCCTGACGGTATGTTCGTTCCAATTTTTGGATTGTACGTTAATGTGGAAATTTTTTAGCTATTTGTAAAAACATTGTAAGAGTTTCCAGTAATTTTACCAATATTTACGTTCAGATCAATATTGTAATATAAATACATCCTTGCATTTGGTTGAATATTAATTAAATATATTGATCTGGAAATCTGAAAAATCAGACAAACCGAAATGTACTCTTCTGCAACTAATTTACAATATTGTAAATAGTCCGTGGAATTTTATATATTTAGTATAACTACCTGTTATGGAACAATGTTTAAATTATTAATAAAGCCAAATTTGTATACGTAAGAAATATTTATTTTCAAGTAGTTTAATCCTCTTTAATTCTCTGTCCCATCTAAATAGTCTTTGAAAACATAAATTTGTATGTTTCCATGTTCTCGTAACTATAAACAGAATATTACGTATCTCTAACAATCACTAACACTAGTATCGGCAGACTAGGTCAAAATGATCCATTCTTGATTTCTTCATTTTGCAATTATTAAAAACACAACAGATGTTTCTCTGAGAAATTATTAAAGTACTTGATTTAGCAATACGCGAACTGTATTAATATCAAATATAATCTCAACTTAAGAATGAATAACATTTTCGTTTATATATTACTCCCTGAAATAATACACGACATGATAAAGCAACATTATACACGACAAACAACACCAATACCCGTATCACTTCATCGGTCATAAAACTTGGAAAGTATGAGGTGACTCTTCTCCTTTCCATACAGAAACCTTTTGAATCACGCGAAGGGATTCCGCCGCGAAAATGGCTGACGCCATCTTCAAATTGTAACGACGAGACGCGAAACGTCGGATAAAGTATAACGTATGGTAAGAAGCGACAAGCCGCATACTTATCAATCACTTAGTGTTCATATTTCTCGGTTCGGAGGATGAACAAGCAGGACACGAAACATCGCGCTTACATATATCGCGGTTCTGGTCGGCTTATTACCGCTCTATACCTGAAACAACTGTGGAAATATCGTTGTCGATGCATGGAAATGCAGGGATCTTTGGAAATGTTGATCGGAAACAAGATTCTCCCTTCTCCCTCGCGCCTTCTCCCGTTTATGTTCCATATCGCATACGAGCAGTTTGAAGATATGCGACACGGAGATATCGGATTTCGAATATCGTGCGGTGTGAATCAGAAAATTCTGACTCGTTCCGTTTTTATCAGTATTGCCGCGCGTAAATACGCTTTGTATTTTTGGATGCACGTATACCTTGACAACTTTGAACTTACCCGCACCGATACATTTAATTTCTAATGACAACGTGGCGACCATGGAAACATTTCCGACGGAAAATGTAAACTGACAATTTTTCATATATTTGAAATGTTGGAAAATAAATGTGAAAACATATTCGTTCGTATAATTTGAAAATATACCGAATTTCCTTGTATTTTTCATGTACTTCGTCACTTAAAATATTTCACGCGCAAAACTTCGTAAGAATGTTTGTCATAAAAATTGAACCATGTTTGGATGTTTGGTAAGTAAATTCAGAAGTAGCCGAGGAGTACGAGTTTTGAGAATATATTTATACTAGTAAGTTTCAGCAGTCTTTTTGGAACAAGTAATACAATATACAGAGATGAACTAAAGATATTTGCATTATAATGATAACACTGACATACGATAAAATAAATATTCCATATATCATTGAAAAATTCTGAATTTCGTTGAACTGAACAAAGTCAAATCGAAAGTAACGTTCAAAGCATATTCACCTAGCAATTCTTCGCATCCATAACGTAACGTTTAACACTAGAACTACTGCACTCATAAAAATGACGAGTATACACGTCTAGTGCAAGCCAAATGCGCCTATAATATATTCTAACGAGAAACTAAAGCGAAACGAAGAAGCCTTACATGTTTGTATGAAAAAGTAAATAATTGATCGTTGAAGGAGTTAGTATCATTTTGATTTCAAGATGACGTGTACACTCGTCGAATGCAGTTAACTGGTTAAACGCTCAGTAGTTCTAGCGTCGCGTCATTTCCACGGTTTCCCTGGTATTCTTACTTCCGATGAATATTTATACAGTATTCTGGAGTCACCCTACGCGTAAGTTCGAACTGTCCAGTACGGTCAGTATTCTGATTCGCGTTAGCACGTATGCGGGCACATTGTGAATAAAACACAGCCAGGACTGGGCAGCTAGTATGATTATAATGCAGTGGCCGTAGCTACCAGCCGAAAGGGTCTGCACTCCCTTTTCTCTGTTCTCGTTTCGCCAGGAACCTAGATTCTGGATATACTGTAGCGAGTCCATTATAGAGATTGTGGTCGAGACCTCGGAACCAGAGACCCGCCACTAAGTTTTTCATCCCCCTCCCCGCCGCCCCTTTTCTTCGCGCCAACTCAGTATATTTCTATCCTCCTTCCAATAGCACTGGCTTTGCTCGTTTCTACTTCGTTTCCTCGCGGTGCCGTACATCAGGGGTCCGCGTAAAGCATATTTTACACCTCGGAGGCTACCCAATGGTAACAGCGTAATAAGAACACAGCCCGGAGATGACTGGTGTCACGGAAAAGAAAAATATTCTTTCCTATTAGCAATGGGACCGACTTAACCGTGAGGATGGAAGCTGTGAGGACAGGCCGTCCCGTAAATTAGAGCGGCAGGAAAGAAACGAACTCTCCCAGCGGACAGAATTATTCCCGGTAATATATTTCTCACTGTGTTACACTCGTTCCTCCGCGCAAACTCGAAGGGATGACGCAAATTGTGATTACTGGATCGCGCTCCTGGAACGTCTATTAACCCTTGTACTCCGTCCAAGTGAATCTCCCGCAAAATGGATACTTCATTTCTAGCATTGGTTTGTGCCGTTGAAATTATTAACTTGTTAACTGCGGAGATTGCTTTCAGAAATCTCTCGTTTCGCGCATAATCAAATGAAGAAACGAAGTGTGCATTCGTCAAACGCAGAATGAATGCACCTGTGGTATATTTTAATGAAAGGCCAAAACGAAACGAAGAAGTATTATATATTTAGCTGAAAATATCTGGAATTCACCGTTGAAAGAATTGGTATCATTTCAAGCTTTAGGATGACGTGTACACTCGTCAAACGCAGTTAACTGGTTAAATAAACTTCAAGGGATCAGTTTTTATGTAGTTTGATGTATTATGTTGGTAACAAAAAGATTTTTAAATTGTTTAATACCTACTTGACACGTGTGCCATCTTTAAAATTGATGTGGAAAAATGTTTCAATAGAAATATTGGATAAATAAAAGGAAATAGAATGATTAGAATGACAAATGAGGAAAGGAGGCATAGAAACATCTTCAGAAAAGTATTTTAACACTAAGACACTGGTAATCGCCATTGGATTATTCTTTACTTACATACAAAATCATATAACATTGTTAAGTGAAGATAAAATACTACCGTCCATATGAATCATTCACTATGCATTGGAAAATCATGATTGAACTGTACAGAAATTATATATCCCGTATAAACGAATAAACTCTTAAGCAATCAATATATTTTTAAAATGAATATGCTCCGAAATCTTTAAAATTCGGACAAAAATTCTCAGATGTTTATTAAATCTACTTACATATGTATCACTAAGAAATTATCGTCATTACGAATATTAGTTTGTAAATCCAATTTTTGTTTATTCTCTCTTTAGTACTCCGACATAGAGTAATCTGCATTTGTGTTTTTCTACAAAATTACTAATTTCCACCAAAAAATTACTAACGACTCGATTTATCACTCGAATCGTTCAAATATTTTCGTGTAATACGAATAAACATCAATTCTGCTGCTTGAAGTAAGACCTTTACACGGAATTACTTTCCTGCTAATGATTTGGCGTTACATATATATCTGTTACCTACAAATATAAAGCTTCACGATTACGCTTTCCGAATGCAGTAACGTAACATTGCAAGAACGTTCGCTTTTCCGTAAATAGCCTACGGTGTCGTTCGGGTACATTCTTTCCTCGACGGAAATACAATGCCAGAATCTCGTTTGCCATGTTCTCGGGTAACGGTTCCCCTCAAGAGCAGCTACACAGCGATGATGTCGTGCGAGAAAACGAAATAATAAGACGTCTAATGGCGTCTGGAATTGCGGACATTCAGGCAGCGATTGGATGCAGTTCCGGTGCAGCAATTCTGCCAAGCAGTTTCGTCGCATACCTCGACCGACGAACACACCTAACCGTTGCCTTTGACTCCACTACCTCCTATTACGGGACGCCAACGGAAATGACTTCTTAATCGATATTCGTTGATCCCTCCTCGCGATCGGATACTCCTCGATTCTTTTGGCGACGCAAGCGGAATAACGTTTACAACGACGTTCGAATGGAAAAGATTTGGACAATTGGAAATTACGGAAAATTATTCTTCCGTGTCCGTGGAATTCAAATATCTTACTTTGTAATCTGATGCACAAATGAAATAGTATTGTGTATTCTGTTGGTCCTCGCTTGCTGAAGAAAAGGAAGTTCTATGTTCATTGTGAGTATATGTTTATTTTAAAAAATTACACCTTAAGGCGAAGGAAAGCTATTTAATAATGACTTTCAAATGATTTTACAAGCTATTTACTAAATTCTGCGCGAAATCTTTACCGCAGATATGATTCCATGTTAGGAGACAAGATTTATTAATTAAAAAAGGGTTGTAATATACTTGTTCCCCATTTTCAGTTACTTTGTATGTGGATATTAAATATTTTAAAGAGCGTTTCAACTATTAAATATCGAATATTGGTTAAAATAGAACAAATTCAGGAATAGAAGGTATATTATTATAACATGTATGAGATTAAAGTTCTAAGTTCGGTTTCCGAATTCATTATTGGCAAGTAAAATACATTAAGAACGGGGAATACGGAAAACATGTACTGAGGTACAAGAGTAAATTCTTAATGGAGAAGAGTTATAACGAAAACAATAACAAGATGAACTTACAAACATAATTAGAGCCACTGCACATCAAATGACACAGAATTTGCTAGATACTCGGGTTTTCCTACAATCTTAGAACATTTATATTTTTGAAGAAATAAAATTTTAGTTTCTTAACTAAAACAGTTTGCAAGATATTTAATGTTAAATTTGAAAAAAGAACGCGCGAAATAAGCGGACGGATGTATATGCAATATAATTCTTGTTTACTACGAACACAAAGAATAATATTATCAGAAAGATTTCCAATCGATCGAGCGTCCTCTGCAGAATAAGTTTCTCAATAACTGACGTCTATACAAATAGAATATTTAAAACAAACTTTAACACAATAAAAACGCGTGTACAATCGTTCCAAAGATTCCATCTAGCATCGTTCAAACGATAATAAGACGTCGAAAATTACCGAACCTCGTTACTCGCTCATTATGCCCACTGAACCATACAAACTAAACCCTGTATCTTGCTCCTCCGACGTCGAACAGGGTATCGTCAGGTACTCAAACGGAAGAATTACTTGTCGTTAACGTCCATGCGTTCGCGAAGCGACAAAGGAAACGACGTAAATAAAGATTCCACTTTCTGATGTTGTTCACTCAATTTCACAGTTGTCGTTTCGCGATGGGTGTCCCTTGTGCGGAGGGTGTCTATAAAGGACTCGCCGTCAAAGATCGACATTGGGTAGCAACATGTTTTCAGCCAAGTATTCCCGGCCCTTTCCTCCCGTGGAAATTCTTCGAAACCCTTGCCAGCCCTGGTACTCCTTGAATCTTTAAAGCAACCCAAAGAGAAATTATTCGCGCTCGATAGAAGTCTCTTTGATAGAGATCGCGCGGCATTCGGAGAACCCGGTCGCCGCTACTCTCACGAATATTCCGCCGAAACAATATCTTCTTCCGTGATTGGCGAAGAGAGACGTTTCAGACGAGAACGTCCGAAGATGAAAACACGGGGAGGTTAGATGATGTCTCCGAGGAAAAATCGACGATACGCTGACATAATCTCACACCTGTTCTTTCGTTAGTCGAATAATGGGCACTGTCCTGTTATCCACGGGATTAAATATCATAATTAACGTAGTCACGCTACACGGCTCTCTGCGTGTGTATTTAGTGTGCGTGTGTATATGTAGAAGAATCGTCACCTTGGAGACACCGCCCGCTATCACCATCAAGCTCCGCGTCCTTCCCCGTCCCTGCATTTTCTCACGGCTCGGCGCTCTGCTCGTTACGGGGATCAAATGCGAGTAGACAGAGTGTCTTCTATTGTGTACACGCTCAACAAACCTTCATTATTAACCTCGATCACGATTCTTCCTCTCACCTACCCAGGTCCCAGACGACTGTCCTCCTTCCGCCCTCGTGGTTCTTTCATCTCGTTTTCTCGTTTCCTCGGCCGGTACCCGTTGAAATGCTCGGAAAGCAGCTTCGCGTCCCGTGGAAACCTTTTATTCAACGCGCACCGTCGTCGTCGCGGACGAAACGCGTATAACTGTCGGCGAAGCGACGCGACACGGGAACTGTGGGGAAGTTGTTTACTCGAAAGGAGAAAAATGACTGTTGTCGGACGTCTTCCCGGTGATAAATATACCGGGGATGTTCTTATACTCGTTAGCTACGATACTTAATAGAGAGATAACAGTGTACAGTCTCTGTCAATGGAATTTACGTGTACATTGGTATATTTGGAATATTTGGAAGAAACTAGGATCTTAGATACTTCACAGACATTTTAAGCGGCTTGTTAATTTACAGAAAGGAGGTGAGAAACTTGGAGAAGTTTAGGGAAGAGGGGAGTGAGCGCTTTCGTTCGGGATGTACCACCAGTGGACTAGTCGGTAAACTATTCTGGTAGACCCTGGGACGAGTGTTGGAGGTTTACGGATGTCTTGTATATAAATTGTGTAAGGACTGGGTAGGAGCGAGAAAGGCCTTGGCGCGCAAGTTCTCTACCGGCGCAGTGCTGGAAGCTGCCCTTAGTGTTCATTTCTTCGCATTTTTTGTCTAAAAGTTAAAATATATATCAAACGACAGTTAGTTATTAGGAAACAGTGTAAATGATCTTCTTTATCATATTGAACATAGGAAAAATAGAATTTAAAAATGTCGAATGTGATTCGATGTAGTTGTGAATAAAACTATCGAGTTACATTCAATGAAGAAATACAAACAGTTAATCTATTTGTTGATTAAGTTTAGATGGATTTAAAAAAAATCTGCGTACTGCTGTAATTCCAGCCATTCAGTTATTAACACATTTTTTTGTCATGTCTATCTTTTGTTGAATTCTCAGGTGTTTGGTAAGAGCGTACACGGCTGGCAACCGTAATTCTCGATTCGTTTAAAATCATTCAAATGAATCACATTCATTCTTCAATTTTTCATTAAGCATTAGCAAATTAACTGTGGTTCAAATGCAGTCACTAGAAATAGATAATTGTAAACTTTCATTCCTAAAATAATTTCGTTTAAAAGTGATTTTCATTTGTCGAACAGTCAATCAGCACGCATCCGCAAATGGTCATTTCAAAAGTAATTTATTCTGACGTTGTTCTTATGCCACTTGCTGAAACATGAGTCATAAATGAGACCATATTCGCAGATTCTCATCCGAAGAACAGTTTCAAACAAATTCATCGTAATGAATCTCTCGTTCAAAAAAGTGCAAGTCGGTCAGGAGTCGTTTAGAAACACTCAAACAGTTGACAATCGATTCTTATTCCTTGAACAGTAACAAATGGTTCGCAAATATTCGCTCGAAAACCAAATTAATCACAAATCTGAATGCACTCTCGTCGTACAAGTTTCAAACATTCATTTTCAGACTCGAAAAACAGTCGTAAATCAACTTGATCGCCGAACGGTCATTCACAAGACTTACACAAATGCTCAGCCCAAAACGATTTCAAACAGTCTTATACGCGTTCTCGCGTGAAATCATTCGCACGAAGAGTCTCAAGCGCGTTTTCTTTCCGTGACATTCATTCACAATCTCCCATTGACGCGCATTGCATAGCGTTCGTTTACAAACATTCCAAGCTCTCTATTACCAAACAGATGTATCCATAATTTAATTTATACTGTTCTGGACCATTTGTATACTTTTCACTTTCCAGAAATATCTAAATGAATAGAGATTGTGTCTTTATACTTATTATATTTAATGAAATAACAAATTATCTTGGTACACTCGATATTGGCAAATTTTTGGCTTTTCTAATATTTACTGCCGTTGAAGATGAAGATAATCAAGCTAATTGCCGCAAATTTCTGACGCTAAAACAGGGACAGAAAGTAGAAACTTTATTTGGAAATATTAGTTTTGCAACGATCTGCTGTTTGAAACTTATTATATTTGAAAAGACGTCATTCACATCAGTGATCGCGAATGTATTAAGTTTACTATATTTGTAATAAATATTTATACAATTTTATAAACTCACATTTAAGGTTGATTTGTATATTTTGTGTAGAAATATGAGAAATACCGTCATTTTTTCAGAGCGTATCCAATTCTGATTAATAAGATAATGAATGTTCGTAGAACTTTAGAGTTGTATAATCGAAGATTGACTTGTTAACGTACCGATAATAACTGGAACAAACAATTATACAAAACTACACTTCAAATTTCAGAAAAACCAGTTTCCTTCGAAGGGATGCTCATGAAGGTATTAAACCGAGTATAAATTGTTCGATAGCTTTAAATTGATTCGATAGCTTGAACAGTTTGAAAAAATTCAGCTTATCAAGCTTCAATCTATTAAACTAATTGTAAGACACATATTCCAAAATTCTTCCCATATTTTAAGTCACAAGTCGAATTGTAGGGACTTCAACGCGCGAAAGAACCCATGAAGATAAAACTCTGTTATCGAAAATTTCGTATTTTTTCAGAGATTCTTCTATCCTATAAGATGCCCCATCGGAAACTAGATACCTCTCTTTTTATTCCGTGTGCTCGACGACACGCAAAATGATATTTGCCCAAGGAAACGGAAAACAAATCAAATTAACGCGCGAGCACGGATTCCGACGAATATCGGTAGACTGAGTCGATTCGGGCAATATCCGGCGCTGCGAAGCACCACGAACGAAATTTACTTCCTTTGATAGACATCGGGACCGTAGTTACGGCGTAGGCATTGTCGGGTGTAAACCTTCTGCTCTCTGATCGGCACTCTGAGGGTACGTAGGTACACATTAATTAGGCTTAGGCTCGTGAGGTAGGTTTAATTACTTTCGCCAGATCAGAGCCGAACGGAATTTAACTCGGCGGATGCAACCAGCGAGACGAATGGAGGAATGAGGGAACTTGGGTGAAACAGAGACGGACAACTTTGATCGAATGTACAGAAACTATGTAGAATTGTTTAAATGATTTAATTCGAAACTAGCAAACTTCCTGTCTCAATGATACGGTGTATATACTTTGTTTACTCGTTCTTATCAAAGGGAAATAATCGTTTAAAATCAAATTCGAAAAGGAATTAATTACTCTGGTCGTCGATTGCGGAATAAATGAATAACGAATGCATCCAGGAACAAC